AAATTTGCATTACATTGTTAAGTGAGTTGCACAGGTACCTTACCTTGAACAATATTAGAAATGTATGTACAGTATGTTCTGACAAATAATCTCAATTTTATCAATATAAAAAAAAATCCAAACCAATGTAAGATATTTAAAACTAGTAGTTGCTCTTTTGATTTAAAAGTAGAGTCAATAATCCACCTTTTTATTCTAGAAGAGCCCCCCCTTTTTCTTTTCAGAGTAGATTCAATAATCTACCCTAATGCCTATCATATCTATATCTCCCCCTTTATTTTTTACAAAACAAGAACTCTGAGTCTGATCTCCTTTGTTGAACTTTTTTCCTGACCATTAGCAATAACAACTTGTAACCAACTCCCCTAAACAATGATAGATATCCTTAACCTGTTGAATGACCAAAAACCACCTGCCCCACCTCTTGGGAATATGAGTGTCCTATTCTTAAATTTATTTCCTGCTGTCTGTGGGCAACAGCATCTTTAGAGGAGTATCCTGAATAGAAATTGTAAATTGTCAAGTCCTGAAAGAGGTAGCTGTATCATTTGTTGTTCAGTCTTTGCATAATGGGAAAGTGCAGGGCTTGTCTCGGGTCCTGGCTAGAGTAGTTTGTGAGACTGGATCATCTCAGCTAGCCACATGGAAATTGTCCTGAGCAGTTTGTAGTCCAAAGCTGATCTTTAGTTGATGTTTTCCAACTTAATGGTTTAGTCACAGTCCCGATGGAGTCTTCTTTGTGGGACCCCATCATCCTTTTGAAGACTTCAAAAGTCACTGTTAGGTGTGGTCAGGGTTCACTGCAGAAAATATAACATTTTAAATGTCATATGCAGCAGATCTCAAAGAGGTTAAAGGATCATTATTTGTTATGTACATCCAGAGTGCAAAAACCTAATTCCAATTCCTGCTGGGCTTTGATGGTACAAGCCTTTACTCCCAGCACTTGGGAGGCAGAGGCAGGCTGATCTCTGTGAGTTCAAGGCCAACCTGGTCTACAGAGCGAGGTCTAGGACAGGCTCCAAAGCTACACAGAGAAACCCTGTCTCAAACAAACTAACAAACAAACAAAAAAAACAAAGTGGAAAGTCTACAGAGGTGCAGTACAGGAATGAGATGTGCCTTGTGACATCTAACCCTGCCTACAAAACCAAAACCAAACCAAACCAAACCAAACCAAAAAACCCAACTTAATTCCTACTTACTGATAGAGACTCAAACCTGAAATCACATACAGGAAGCTGGATGAAGACTTGTTCTAGAATTAATTAACACTTTATATGGCCATTAGTTTCATGACAAAAGTTAAAAGTATTAACCCCTTATCTACTCAACTTGCCAGCCCAAAAGAGACTCAGATGCTGTCTCTCCTGCCTTATCACTTCCTCTTTCCACCCAGCCATCTCACTTCCTGTCTGTCTATACAGACCTCCAGACCTCTGTGGTTAACTAGTAGCTAGCTCGGCCCTCTGAACTTCAGGCAGGCTTTATTTGTACAAACAAGGTATCACCACTGAGGAATTTCAAGAAAGTCCTAACAAGTAATAAAATCCAGTTTGGCAATGGTTGTGTCTCGTGGGACTGAAACTCAAGTTTGGCATTGTGGAATGCACTTGGAGAGGAAAAACCCACTCAGGTGCTTGAGGGCCTTTGGCTGTGGACTCTGCCTGGCATAGCATACATTTTATTCGAGAAATGAAAGTGGTCATACCAGAAATATTCTAACAGGACAAATGGTAACAAACATAAAATGATTTAGGGGTAAATGTGCACACGAGGACTAACCTAGCCTTTAGTTTTCCAGGAAACGTCTGAGTTTTGATTGAAGTTCTGATTGCTTTCCAAAACTAGTAGTAGGAGCTGGGGAGAAGCTGAGGTTCATTCCATGTCTTAATGTCAGCAGGTTCACCGAAGGAGGAATTGGATTGTGGATGAGTGCCTAATAATAGGATGTAAGGAGGGAGGATAAAATTAAATAATATGCACTATTTGAGTAGGGTACCAACCTTCATACATAATGATGCCTTTGACGTGGGATAATCTGTATTCGAGTTCTTGATTTTTCAGGAGTCTGAAGCTAACATTTTTGACACAAGTGCAAATTAACTGCATTTTAAATAGGACTGAGTTGCTGAGACAGATATTACAAAACAGTTTTAGTCACTGGTCAGGCGAGTGCTGCATTGGGATAGCATCTAGCACAGGCGTTCTGCACATCTTACCAGTTTAAACCTTGGCTTTCAGTATGCGGTTTGGTTGGACATTATGTAGAGTGAGGTGAGTAGAGCCCTACTGTGTTTGTGCTGTCTGAGCGAATGCGGACACAGGGCTGCTGCAGGAGGGTACTGATGGGTCTCTGACCTGATTAGGAATGTTTTCAGCCTCTCTGTGGGCTACCATTCCCTTGGCTGGTTTTGAAATTACCAGCTCAACCTTGATTTTTTTACCCTACCAAAGAAAGTCTTGCTTTATCGTTGGGAAGAAAATCTGGAGAAAAATTACACCCTACTTTCACAAGCATACACTGTAATGTAAATATTCAGAGGAAATGCTTAGTTTTAGAATCTGGTTTTACCACAGTCATGTGAGCGTGTGTGTTTGTGAAGCAGGCCCGGGTTACCGGAGAGCAGTGTATTGAGTAAAACCATATGCTCTTGTTCATTTTCAGTTATTTTAGCTTCAAAGTTTTTGGTTGGTGAAAGTAATAGAGTTTAAATCCCCAAACTTGTGAATTTTCATAGGTGGTGTGACCCAGGGGTACACCCATTTCCTCTGTACTCCACACAGTGGTCCATCCATGCAGGATCTGTACCCACAGATGTGTTTCAGTGTGTGTGTGTGTTGGGGGGCTCTGGCTGAGGTCGGGCGTTTCCCACAGTTCATTTCTTCTCTCCTGCCGCTGAGGCAGTGTGTCAGCTGCCTGCATCCCTGTGTCCTTGTCCTAGGATCATGGTGTCTTTATATGCCCCCCTCCCCAGTCTTCCACACCATCATGGTAGCTGCTCTTTTCTGTGCCTTCACCAGGGAATATGCCGTGCACTCCCTCACTGCTAAAATCCTCACAGTCACTGCACACACACACCGGTGACCCCAGGAGAAATGACTGCCTGCAATCTTGTGGTGGGAAGTGGAGGGAGTTCTCACCTTCTTAGCTGTGGTTTGTGGGGCCCACTGCTCGCTGCTCTTCTTTCTCTCTTCACCCCTCTATTATGCCTCCGTTCTGGCATGACACTCTTTGCAGAGCTCAGCAGGTACTCGTCCTAGCCAAAGGTTGGGACAGGCTTTCCACCTTCATTATGTGGTCGGCCTGCCGGGCTCAGTTGACAGGCTGCTTTGTTGCTCCCTGAGATGCCTTCTCTGCTATGACAACATGCTCCTTGGAATTCTGATTGCACTTTCAGACACTTTTGGTTTCTTTGTGGTCCATAATTTTTCCCCCTTTGCCTAAATGGTGTTGCTCTCTTAATTTATTTTTCCACCCATCATTCTCTCTGTTCCTCCTTCCCCTCCCACCTTGCCTTTCCAAACAGGGTCTTGTTATGTAGTCTTAAACTATATCCAACTGCCCTTAAATGCTCAGTCCTCTGTCTCAGCTTCTCAGGGCTGGGAGTATAGGCCATGGGCCATTCTAATGTCAGTGGGCATTACTTGCTAATGCATTGTATATTCTTTGAGCATTTACTTTGTACCACTTGCCCATGGAAAAGTTACCTTTCGTGTGAGCGTCACTGTTGGTTCCAAGTTGTGCCCCCATTGTATATTCCTTAAACTGTGTCTTACCACCTATCTTCCAACACTTGGTAGACCTCCAGTCATCGTGTGTGTGTGTGTGTGTGTGTGTGTGTGTGTGTGTGTGTGTGTGTGTGTGTGTGTGTACACACACGCTCGCGCCCACCTGTCTGCCTGCCTGCCTGCCTGGCCTTGCATCCTCTCATCACTGCTGCCCATCCATCAAGGGACCTCTGTCTCACCTGCCCAGTGTGGCAGCTGGCCCTGTTTTCAGCCACCTCCTGAGAGAGCTGTCCTAACAGGTGGCTCTGATGACAGCCTTCTATAAAAGCACCCAGAGGGTCATGGGAAGAGACAGCCTGAGATGACCTGTCAGGCTTTGGCTCATGCACTGATCTCAGGCTTCTTCAGCAAATCTGCAGCCTCCTGCCTGCATCACACACACCAGTAGCTTCCATGTCCCCAGGCCCAGTAGGCAGATTAGCTTCTGAAGCTGCAGTTTTCTGTCACCCTTCCCCTGAGTGGGTTCCCATTTAGTCTGCAGGTCTTCCTCATACATTTAACTCCCATGTGTTCTGGGAGCCTGGCACACAGTTGGTTTCGGGAGAAGGGTCTGTTTGTGAATGCTGTGGGTATTGTGGCCTCAGCAAGGGGCTTCCCTACATTGATGCACTACTGTTGCAGCCCAGGTTGGGAAGGCTGTGCTTAGGCTCTGCTCCTACCTCTCTGGCCTTGGCCCTGAGGCTCCAGGACTGACTCACCAGACCAAAAATAAAATTCAGACTTAGCTTTGAACTTGTATGTTTGCTAAGGTGTTTACTAGCTTGTGACTCATAGTCTGGGGCTGTTGCTGCACACTCGTTATCTTTGGGAGTTTGTATCTGAAATCATCTTGCACTATCTGAAATTTTTCTTTTTACTTTAGTGAATATGGGGCACTCCGGCTCCCTCAGGGTTTGTAGACTCAGGTCTAAAATGCCATTGCTGTGTTGCCTATCGTCTTTGCCCTTATTAGAAATCATGTTTTCTGTAAGCTTTTTAGGATTCTAGATACTTAGGATGTCAACTTTTTCTTTATGTCGTTTATTCTAGATCTTCTTAATTTTAAAATCTTCTCTAAAAGTTAGTTAAAAAAAAAGTCTTTCTTGTAATGTTCTGGATTTTGATTTTTTGGAATTGTGGTCTTTAATCTGAAAATTTGGATAGTTGTGTTTTATATATGTATTAAAATACAAAGGTTGCGTTTGTTGTATGTATAATAGCTAATAAACTCACTTCTTCATTTATTTCCTTACAGGGTAGTCCAATGGATCCAATGGTGATGAAGAGGCCTCAGCTGTATGGGATGGGCACTCACCCCCATTCCCAGCCGCAGCAGAGCAGTCCGTACCCAGGAGGCTCCTACGGCCCCCCGGGCGCACAGCGATACCCCCTCAGCATGCAGGGCCGGGCTCCAGGGGCCCTGGGAGGCATGCAGTACCCACAGCAGCAGGTCAGTGTCAGCTTCTCTCTGCCTTCACCTGTTGTGTTGATAGCTATTTTTTTCCTTCTTGATTTCTGTGTGTTGTTGGTATTCAGAATTTGGGTGTTTCTGTGATGTCCCCCTTTTGTTCTTTTTTCGATGAAGTAGAGTATTTTCACTTTTTTTTTCCTTTGTTAAACATGGAAATTGATCTTGCAACAAAGTAGACAAAGCTCCTGCTTGGTGGAGGGCAGTCTTGCTACTTCCAGCAACCTTGACTTTCTCATGTTTCTGAGATTGAACTTCTCAGATTGGGAGCTGTGAGAGGACTTCTGGTGGATTTTCCAGTCATTCAAAGTTTTGGTGTAGTTGTTGTTTGAGTTAATCTGATTGTGTTAGTCTAGGCTGCCCTCAAACTTGGTCTCCTACTGGTGGGATTAGGGGTGTTGCCACCATCCTGGGTTAGCATCAGCCTGAGTTTCACAGAAAGTTACCTCGGCTAGACTATTTCTGTGGTGTGTTCTAGAAAAGGTTTCTGTATTTCATGTGTGAGTTTGGTTAGTTGTCTTGGATAAGAGAGGCCTTTCTTGCTCTTAAAAGACCCATCTTTAATTTCCTTCAGAGTCAAGTGTCGTTAACCATACATGGCTGTCCATGGGGGAGGGTGTGGTTCTTTTTTTTTTTTTTTTTTTTTTTTTTTTTTTTTTCGAGACAGGGTTTCTCTGTGTAGCTTTGGAGCCTATCTCACAGAGATCTGCCTGCCTCTGCCTCCCAAGTGCTGGGATTAAAGGCATGCGCCACCAATGTCCAGCTTTTGAGGGTGCTGTTCTTAGCATTTGTTTGTTTGACTGGCCTGAGGAGGCATGGGCCTTGCAAAGGACACAATCAGATCCAAGTTTGTCAGGGTACTTAGTGACTAGGAACACTAGAAAGGCCATTTACAAATTGCCACAGCATACCCGTCATCCCCAGGGAGTGTGAGGCTACAGGGGAAATGCATTTTACTGCCTTCAGAGTGGGGCATCCTATAGTGCTGCCCGTCAGCCTTCTGCATTCACCAGAGCTCTTCTGTGAGGAAACAAGTCTCCGTAGTGGATGCAGTTGCGTGCACTTGATGCAGTGCTGAGCCTCAGTTGAGTATGGTCTGTCCTCATCTTGCAGTTATAGAGAAAGATGGAGTTAGGTCAGCCTTTAAGTCCTAGCGTAATTCCTTACACTGCACTAGTCCTTCACTCCACAGTATCAAAAAACAACTCTGAGTGCAAGCATCAGCTTGCTTCCTGTTACCCCAGGTTACCCTTTCTTCTGCCAGACTTTACTTTCCCCAGAGTTGAAGCACTGATTGTGGAGGGAGATAATTGATGAATAAGAAAGTGATAGCTCTCAGCTGCCTCCCACCAAGAGCCTTTGTATCTTTAGAGTTTCCTCCTCTCTGTGAAGGAAGAGGCCCCATGCAGCAGGAAGCTGAAGGCCTCCTGGCACTGGCAGTCCAGTTGATGGGTGAACAGTTCTATCTGCTACAGAAGAAAAGAGATAGACAGGCAGTGAAAGCAGTGGCCTCGATCCTTGGGATGAAGGCATTCCTGGGAGGGCGGAGAGTCCTTTCTGAGTTCAAGTTTTGTTAGTTTTAGACATTGGCCTAGTTTGTTGAGCCAGAGAGCCAAATACAGAAAGTCTGTGAAGAATGGTTACCAAGGAAATATCTGTACATTATTCTCTTCCCTGAGTGTGTGGGTCAAAAAAATAGGTCTGTGCTAAAATACAGTCTTAATTTTCTTACCTTCTTGGTTTTATGATCTTTACATTCCTTTAAAATCTGATAACTCTTAGATTTACTTGAATGGACAAATTGCTGATTACCTGTCAAGTATTACAGCAAATGCTTTTTGTGTGATGTTTATCTATTTAATTAATTAATTAAATTTTGTTTTTTCAAGAAAGAGTTTCTCTGTGTAACAGCCCTGGCTGTCTTAGAACTTGTTCTGTAGACCAGGCTGATCTTGAACTCAGAGATCTGCCTGCCTCTACTTCCTGAGTGCTGGGATTAAAGGCATGCACTGCCACCACCCAGCTTGTGTGATTACATGTGTCACAGCATGTGATTGAGAATGTGCTTGGTTGTCACAGGACAACCAGTAGGAGCTGTTTCTGTCCCTTCACCACGGGGGTCCCAGCAATTGAACTCCAGTTCAGGCTTGTTTGCACCTTTGCCCACTGAGCCGATTCTCCTGCCCTCAGCATACTTTTAATTAAGCTTTTAGTTGAGGTATTTACCATTAACCAAAATCAAACATGCAGTTCAGGTGCACAAGTCTTTTTAATAATGAAAAGAAAATAGTATATTTGGTGAGAAAGTGAATATCCTAGCTGCAGAAATCTCAAGCTTTCATACCAATTCATTCATAATCAGGACTCTAATCTGTCGAATTTTACCCTTTCATTTACTTATAAGACTGCCTTGTCTCTTTTTGATCTTTCAAAGGCAAAAAATAGCTGGGGATAGATTTCTGTTTGAATGCTTGTTAGCACTGTAAAGGAGATACAGCTGCAGATACTCATTTTCTTTCCCTCCCCTTCTGGTGCTGGGGATTGAGCTCAGGGCATCGCACATGCTGGCAGCCCTTAACCTCAATTGAGGCTCACCCTCCCCTGCTACATATGGCATTTACAATGAGCAAGCCCTCACCCCCCCTGAGGCTTACCCTCCGCTAGTACATACAGTGTTTTATTATACCAAATCCATGGAGCAATTCCTAATAGTTGGAAACAGAGTAATTAGTAAAGGTTTTGAGAAATAGTTGTTCAAGAGTGTATGCACACACATATATGTGTGTGTATATATATATATATTATGTGCACTTTATGTACCCGACTAAGACAGGATTTTAAACTGACCTTAAACTCACAGTGTAGCCAAGAGTAGTCCTGGATTCCTGATCCTCCTGTCTCTGTCCCCTAAGTACTGGGATTACAGTCTTGTGCCACTACACTGGCCTTTGGTCTGTTTTTTTTTTTTTTTCCCTCCGAGATGTGGAAATTATAAATGTATATACAACAAGGTCCAGACACTGTGATTGGCTGCTACTCTAGTCCTATGGTCTTGTCTTGGGACCCGCGTAATTGGCTCAGCTTTGTGGGAGAGCGTCAGTACAGGACTAATGTCCTTCAGAGAAAAAGTTGGAAGATAATTATGACATTGAGTGCTCATTCAGTGGACATCGCCACCTAGGCATGGCTTTGCTTTGGATGCCTTCCAACACTTCCTGTGTTTGGTTTGTGAACCTCTAATGAGCTGAATCCAGTTCATTTAGCATTGCTCATATATTTCTGCAGAGGATTAAAATGCAGGAATTCAGCTTTGTAAATTGAGTTGCCCACTTACCAGCTGAGTGGTAAGTTGCCTTTGGCTCAGGGGGTCACAGTTTGATTCTTGGCTGGCATTCTGTTCCTGTGATAGGAATTTGAAATGTGTATCCCATTAGAACTGTAGTGCTTGCAAGGAATTTCCCAAGGGTTTATTTCTGTGTCTCAGTGGGAGGGGCTGGCCATTGAATGTTTGATAGTAGCATTAAACCCGGTGGTCTTGATTTGTGTAGTGGTAGTTTTAGGTTTGAAATGTCCCCATGACGGACTTGTTGAAGCATGGCGTGGTAAGAGTGTGCTGCTTTAGTCTTTATTGGCTGGAACTAGATTTGTGGTCTTCACTCCCTTTCCTTCCCCATCATCAGGCAGATACATGCCTAAACAGATCAGCTTTGTGTGTTATGATTTTATTTAAAAAGAGGAAAAGAGAAAGCTGCAAGATGAGACATGTTACCAGTTTACTATAGGGCCCGGCAGAATAGGGAGAGAGAAGAGGAACAGGGGTAATGGCTGACCACCATGGCCGGTTGCCATAGAGAGGCAGAGAGAGCACATAGGTGGGAGAAGAGGAGAGAGTAGAGAGTAAAGAGAGCGGGGGTAAAGAGAGGAAGCCGAGAGAGAGTGAGGCAGGAAAGTTGGGACTTTTAAAGGGAAGACTGCGCATGCGCATTGAGGTTCCACGCATGCCCAGAGTCCTCATGCGTGGAGGGTGACGTGCTGATGACGTAGCACGTTTTCTTGTGCATGCCAGGACTATTGTCAGGGAGCAGGATCTGTCTCTTAAAGAGGTAGAGCCCATCAGCGTCAAAGCCTGAACATTTCATTGTGTGGCCCCCTAGAAACTCGTCTTCTTGGGTTTTCATTGAGTTGAGGGGAGTGAATTTTCTCTGTGCCTGTGGAGGTTGTTGCGCCTGCAGGCTCCTGGAGGAGACCTGGAGATGGTCAGCAGAAGCACACTGTTGATTGTGTCTAGTACAGAGCCACAGAGAGATGGGGCTTCAAGCTTGTCACTCCCTGCCTGGGTTTTCAGGGTTAGTTTTGACGTAAAAAAACTAGGGTGTTCTTCTCCAAATCAGGGATGTGGATTTGCAAAGGTCTTGTTTCATTTTTCTCAGCTTTTGTGCTCATAACTGTGTGTGGGCCTTTGCCTTCTCACTCTAAGAGAGTTTTATATAAAATGAGCAGCAGTGAGGAATCGGAGACCATAGAAGCTGCTGTTTATTTGTGTCAGTAGATTTCAAACAACCTTGTAGGCTCCCTCCCCGGTTTTGGAGTCACTGGGTTGGTATCTTTCTGGATATTTGGGAACAGGACACCGTGGTCTTTATACAGCTGGGGAAATGGAAAGAATTTGAGATTGGAGTAACTGTTTTACTTCAGTTTTTTTCTTTCTTCTTTGTCTCTGACAGTGTTCTTGCCAGGTGGGCCAGGCTGGCCTGGAACCCAGCAGTCTACCTCTCTCTATCCTCCAAGTGCTGTGACTAAGCCTGTGCCCACCACACTCAGCATGAATTTTTTTTTTTTTTTTTCTGAGAAAACCTAACTTTTTTAGTTTTTACAAAGTACCTGTACCTGTATTGTGAAGACCTTTACAGTATGGTAAATACTACAATATTGGAATATGGTTATTGCTTGGAAAGTGGCCAAATTCAGTAGAAGTTAGTAAT